GTATGCCAGGAGACAGGGTCAAAGATTAAATAGATTTTTCTCAGGATCACAGCCCCAGATCTGTGTCCAACCTCAGTCTTTCTGCATTCAACCTGTATTCACCCTGCTGTTCATTCAGCAAGTATTTATTGAGCACCTCCTATGAGCCTTGCATTGTTCCAATGTCTGGAAACACAGTGAACAAAGCAGATATCTCCATGTTGGCAGAGCTGCTTGGTAGGAGAGAAGATGTTAAACTAGAAATAAGCAAATACTGAACATATTAGATGAGAATTAGGGCCACTGAGAATAATAACCCAGCAGGGGATAGAAAATGGTGCCGTGTGTGTGTGTGTGTGTGTGTGTGTGTGTGTGTAGGGGCTTGTGGTTTCAGAGAGGGTGGCCAGGAAAGGCTTCGCTGAGATGATGACATTTGAATACAGACAGGAAGGATGTGAGGGCTTGAGACATGTGAATCTCTGGGAGACAGCAAGTGTGAGGGTTCTGAGCCTTCGTGTCTGGGGTCCCATGCGGGGCAAATCATACCCGGGGAGGACCAGGAGGTGAGCAGGGTGGACGTGTACGACAGGTCTTGAAGGTCTTGGGGGCCATGGTGAGGACTTAGCTGTCTTAGCAGAATACCATGGACGGTTTCATTTCGTTTTAAAATTTACACACATACTGTAAAATGCCGTGTCTTAATCGTTGTTTAAGTGCAGTGTTGTGTAGTGTTCAGTACATTTTATGTCGAGCAGCTGGTCCTCCACGACTTTTCCCATTTTGCAGAGCTGAAACTCTGTACCCATCACACAACAAATGTTCTTTCTTCCCACTCCCCACTCCCTGGTCCCCGGTCCCGGGTGCCCGGCAACCACCATTCTGCTTTCTGATTCCCTGACCCTGACTCAGGGATAGCCCACAGGAGGAATCCTATGGAATCTGTCTTCTTTGGGGGGAGTTTCAGTTAGCACATCAGCTCAGGTCATCCATTCACCGTGTGTTAGGAGTCCCCCTGCTTTTTAATATTCCGTCGTATGTCTGTTTATCCATTCCTCTCATGGTATACATTTGGGCAACTTTGCTTTTGACTGTTGCAAACAATGTTTCTGTGAGCACAGGTGCAGATGTGTCTTCAGGATCTGCTTTCATTGTCTTCAGTACCTGGAAGTGGAACTGCTGGTCATCCAGCGATCCTGTGTTTAGTTTTAAGGCATCTCCATGCCATTCTCTTGAGCTGCCACACGGTTTTATTCTCCCCAGTTGTGTACAGTGGCCCAGTTCCTCCACGTTCTCGCCCGCATCAAGTGTTTTCAGGTCTGGGGTCTCTTTCGATAGTAGCCATCCTGGTGTGCAGTGATGTTCGGCGTGGTTTTCACTTGTGTTCCCCTGATGAGGGGTGATGTTGAGTGTCTCCGTGCATGTGTTGGCCATCTGTGTCCCTTCTTTGGAGAAATGTCTGTTCAAGACCCGTGCTCGTTTTTTAACCTGGTGGTTCATTTTCTGTTGCTGAGTGGTAGTGGTTTATATATCCTGGAGCATAGCCCGTTGCCCGATCCATACATGGTTTGCAGATGTTTTCGCCTATCCTGTGGGAAGCCTGCGCAACTTGTTTTTGCCGGGGTCTCTGCTGTGGTTCCGGATGGACTATAGGTTTAGGATATAGCTAGGAGTCTGCTCAACTGTTCCATTTCCATACTAGAAAATTGAGGGTCACAGTTCGGTGCCCCCAGTTGCAGTCTCCAACTCCCGAGGTCCCCTTCCCCCCAGTATTCTCTTGCGCCTGGCCCACTGTGATGTCCACCCCCAGCTCCTTTGCCCAGCCTGTTAGGCATTTCCGATGCCGTCCCACCTGCTCCCCAGCTCTGCCGAGCTGGTCCTGGCCTCTGTCCTCAGGGTGTTCCTCAGCGCCTGCCCCTGCAGCTTCTCCCAGGCGGAGTTGGCTCCCATGCTCCTTCATGGAGCCCGCGGCACCCGCCCTCGCTCCCATCGCCATGGCTGCCTCCTCTGCTAAGCGGAGAACTTTCTTCAGTGAAAGAGGCTTGTCTTCCCCCACACCCTTTATCCAGAATGGGCCCAGAATGCGTTTGATTCAGTGACTAAATAGTGTTGATGAGAAAGAAGAAAAAGGTATGAGGCAGGAGACAAAGAGCGGGGCGACGTGGTGGCTCGCAGCTGTCCCACGGCCTCGCCTGGCACAAGCCAGCCCCAGAGCCCTCTTTGTGCCACTTGGGGCCGGTGGCGCCCAGGCCTTGTGTTCGCAAACCCTCTTTTCCTGGCTCCCTGGTTCTGCATTCAGCATCCGGATAAGGCTCCCCTGCCTTGATGTCTTGTTCTTTTTTCTTCCCATACTTTACATAATAAAGGTTTTATTTTCTTTTCTCCTTTCTTTTTCTTTTGGAATCCAAACTAAAGAGACTATCTTTCTTAAAGAATTTGATGGAGAGCTCAAAGGAAGTAGCTCCAGAGAGAGGAGGAGAGCTGAAGGAACAGGGTCCTTTTATTCCAAGGAGTTTTTCTCTATGTAGGGTTGTCCCTTATAAATGAATGTTTGAGTTCAGGGCCTGGGAGACTTGTGAACAAAACAAAGGAGGCGGCGAGAAGCCACAGAGCTTCTGGGAAAGCGGGCCTTGTTTATGCCTCTTGGAACCGATCTGGTCAAGTGTTTGTTTAAAGGGGATGCCACTTGGTAAGCAACGCCCGGCTCACTAGTGTTGTGTTCAAGAATGCTTTGATTGGTGGGAGGTGCTGATACTCTGCTCAGAACTGGCCCGAGAATGCCTGGAAACTGGAGGCCCAGCGCTGTGACCCAGCGGGTCCTTAAGTGTCGCATGTCCAAGTTAGGGCTGCAGGTGGTGGTGCGATAAGGCTGCTGGTGTCCGTGTGAATCAGCCAGGCTGAGCCAAACCCACAACACGGGGGTTCCCTTCAGTCTTGCTGTTGGCTGGTGTGGTCTTTCTCTTGCTTCATAACTACTGGTGAGTTGGGTAGATTGTGGGTTCTACAGAAAGAAATTAAAAGTGCAAATAAGCCGTGGTAGAAAATGCTTTTCTTGGAGGAGATAACCCTCTGAACACTTAACCTTAACACCTGCCTCCTGCTTTAGTTTGGTTTCCAGTCGGAGTGTCCCTATTTCTGAAAGGACAGGTGTGTTCCCGTCTTCATATGAGGAAACCAAGGCTTTAGCAGATGGTTCAATGATTACGCCACTGGACTCCCATGGAGTCGACTGCAGTTTGAGTCTCAGACCCGCCGGCCTGAACTCATGCTGGGCGCGTGTGCGTGCATGCCCACAGTCCCAAGAGGAGAATAGAGGAGAAGGGATGAGGCATGGCCACCTTCCCTGGGGGGTGATTTCTTGCTTTCTGTCTGTCTCTGTCTCTCTGGTGAGCACACACACCCTAGCGCAAAAATCTCTCTTTTAGGGACCAGCAGTTGACATAATGGCTATGTTGCTGGACTCCCGTGGAGTTGACCACAGTTTGAGTCCTGGACCCGGTAGCTTGAATTCATGCTGGGCGCGTGTGCATGCGTGCTCAAGACCCTGAGAGGAGAATGGAGGAGAAGGGATTGTGGCATGGCCATCCCCTCTGGGGCGTGATTTTTCACTTTCTGGCTTTGTCTCTCTCTCTTTCTGGTGAGTACATGCACCCTATAGCAAAAACCTCTCAAAAACAAAACAAAAAACCCTCTTTTGAAAAAAGAGGAAGAAGGAAAAAAAAAGAAAATGTAGGCACACCGAGCAGCTATTAAGGATAGAGTCTGTAGGGTCAAGGAATTCAGTTCCAATTAGACCTAACAGTGAGCTACTCTTTACCCTTTTAGATAGCCAGGATTTTACCATCATTACTTTTATGTATGTCTTATCTTCATGCTTGACATAAGATAGGGCTTGGTAAATGAGAGGGGCTCACTGAGATTTTATTGGATCAACTGAACTCTGGGCTCTGGTGCCTACGGTCTTGTAGGTTATGGGGTCAGATTAGGTTCTGAAGAGCAGAGGTGAGGGTGGGGTGGGAGCTAGCTGGTTGCACCAGGTACATCCCTTAGGGCAAGGCAATAGTGGGTTTTGGTCATGTCAGGCTGGTCTCTGTGGTCTTAAATAGCCTCCTTGTGTTCTTGCCCATGGGGACAGCCACCTGGGCATCACTCTCTGGCAGACAGACTTGTCTCAGACAGAAAACTTAGCATTCCGGGACCAGCAGTTAGCGTAATGGCTATGTCGCTGGACTCCCACGTAGTTGACCGCGGTTCACGTCCTGGACCCGGTGGCTTAAAACTCACGCCGGGCGCGTGTGCATGCGTGCCCAAGATCCCGAGAGGAGAATGGAGGAGAAGGGATTGCGGCGTGACCATCCCCCCTGGGGGGGGGTGATTTCTCGCTTTCTATCTCTCTGTCTCTCTCTGTCTGTCTGGCGAGTGCACGCGCCCTATAGCAAAAAAACCTCTCCAAAAAAAAAGAACTTAGCATTCCATCCAGCACCCAGCCAGTGGATGAGGACTTGATGGGAAGAGGAATAAGAGTGTGAATGTAGGGCCAGCAGGTGGCTTGGTGATTAAGATGTCGGACTCCCACATGGCCGATTACAGATTGAATCCCAGACCTGGCAGCTCACCTGCTCTGTCGCTCGCTCTCTCTCTTTTTCTCATGAGTATGCATACTCTATGGCAAATTAAAATTAAAATAAATAAAATTAAATAATTTTTAAAGAATTGTTGTTATTAAATTTGACGAGAGAGAGAGAGAGAGAGGAAGAAGAGAAGTGAGAAAGCAAGCCACCAGGTCCAGGACTCGAACTGCAGTTGGCCATGTTGCAGTCAAGCGCCCTTACCTGCCATGCTATCTGCTGGCCCCAGATAAACAATTCTTAAGGACAAGTATGTGGGTGCATCTTGACTTTTATAAAAGAGCAAAATGACTAGGGAAAAAGGGGGTTGGAAGAAGATGGCGGAAGTATCAGTTTCTTGTGGTTACTCGATTGATATAAACAAATGTTTGAGTGCCACCTTTTTGTGTGTTTCAGGCAACACAACAAGATCCGCAGCATCGAGGGGAGCCAGCTGAAAGCGTACCTTTCCTTGGAAGTGTTGGATCTGAGTTCTAACAACATCACAGAAATCCGGAGCACCTGCTTCCCGCATGGACTGCTCCTGAAGGAGCTGTGAGTACTCTGTTCTGCTCCCGGGTCTGGCAGCAGCTTCACTCACTCTCAGCTCTGAACTCGGGGGTGGATGTTCCCTTCTCTCCTCAGCTGGAGTTGGCCTGAGTCAGTAGGGACGGTGTAGACCTACCTCCCTCAACATTTCCCCAGCAGGGCAGAAGGCAGGGGCCCCTGGCTCTTAGCCATTTGCTCAGCCGTTTCCACATCCCACCACGTTACTGCTACGTTACAGAACGATGGGGCGCAGGGGCAGGGAGCGGTTGATTGGCCCGCGCAAGGAACTCGCCACTCACAGCAGAGCGAGGACTCCATTCCTGTGTGGACCACGAGGCCTGTTTCCCCTCCCGTGTCCTAGCTGCCCCCAGGAAAGCTTGGAGAGAAAACTCAGGGGTGGTGAGAGGGGTCGTGCTGGAGAAAGACCTCTTTGAAGAGTCTTCACTCGTCAGTGCATGCCTTTCTGGTATCAGGCACTTTGAAACCCAGTCCTCTGACTTCTGAGGGGGGCAGGTAGTTTTCTGTGCATTCTCAGGACCTTTTAGATGTCTTTGTCTCTCTTTGGCCCACTTTAATGCCCCATGAAGAGATGAGGGGGAAGAAATAGAAACTTATTTAATTCATTACTTGGTGGTAGGAAAATGTTGCTTTGGGGAAGAAACTGAACACACAGGCTGAAGAGACATTTTCCAATTTCAAGTGAGTTTTTTTTTTGGGGGGGGGAGTTTTTGCTATAGGGCACGTATGCTCGCCAGACAGACAGAAAGTGAGAAATCACCCTCCCCCCGGGA